CGAAGCCTTACCAAGCCCTCAGCCTAATCTAACGCACCTCTTTCGAAAGGTTACTTACCTTTGGTTACGCGAGTTTTGGTATTGTTTAGCGATCGAGTCGCAGTCTTTTCCATATTCACAATATTAAAAACAGTACACAAAATTATGGGATGACGTGTCTTAATTTTTCTTCTGGTGTATTTATATAATAGTTAAATGGAATTTTGAGTTTGTATCCGGTTGTGTTAATAAATAGAGATTTTTGAGGACTGTAGCTGATTGTGTTAACAAATAGAGATTTTGTAGATTTCAAGGATTTTAACGATTTAAATAAATATGTCGTGCTTAAAGTTGCTAACTGCCTAAAGTAGCTACTTTAGATGCCTAAAGTTGCACCGTCTAAAGTTACTAATTTAGATGCCTAAAAGTAGCAACTTTAGACGATGTAACTTTAGGCAACTAAAGTAGCTACTTGATCTGGGTATTAAGGGATTGTTACAGCTTATCATGAGACTTGGGGTATTCTCAAGCACCTCATTCATAGCTAAATCAATGGATCGGAAGATCAGTTTTTAATTAGTGAAAATTATTTTTCGCTGTTTTTCACTAATTAAAAATTGATCTCCGATCCATTGATTTAGCTATGATTGAGGTATTTGAGAACACCCTTGGTCTGCTAACGGATAGGTATTCTGGCTCATATTTACTTTTTTTTATCTCTTTTTATGGTCCTACTTACTATATTACTTTGTCTATTCTTTCATTTCAGGTTACGGATTAAACACGGGATCACGGTAATTGATGTACGAAATCAGGGAGACAAGAGAATGATAGTGTTATTATTATGATTTTAAGAGATAGGGGAAAACAGCTGAGAAATTGCTTTTACGCTTATAGTATGACTAGACGGTTCTTAAACGTAAACAAGGGCATGAGTAGGGATGGGCAAATCGCGAATTTTTTTGAATTTTCCGCGCAGGCTGCGCAGCATGCGCATGAAATGCGCCTATCATCAAAAAATTTTTCAGCTGCAGATTCTCGATTTTGATTGGCTAACTTCTATGATCGACAAAATTTTGGCTCACGTTACATAAATTATGTAATTTTCGGCCGGAATTAACTTTTTTTTATTCAAAATAGAAATTTTGAGAAACTAGGCCTGCTCTATGTAAAATTAATTTTCACTTAATGCGTAACTGTGATTCATTAGTAAAATTTGAGTAATTTTGACCTATTGTCGCTCTTAGCTAATTACAAAAATCGGTTGTAACAATTTTGATAGGCAGCTAGGTATATAAGAAATATTTTAAGATATCTTACTCATAAAAATACTAGTAAAATTATTTATATTCAAAATTGTATTTATTACTTGTAGTCTTATTTCAATTTTGTATATAAATATAAAAAAATATCAAGCCCGCATTATGCAAGCTGGCCAGAATTATGCTGTCCGGCCCGAGTTATAAAAATTACACTGCGCAGTCTCTCAAAAATTCTGCGCAGTGGCCCATCCCTAGCTGTAATTGAGAATTCGCATTTCACAATATTATTTTAATTAACTGTAACTGATTCACAATGAATTCTAGCGAAATTTTTATGAGAATTCGCTTCAATTATCATAATGATTTAGAACAACTCGATCATTAGCTATTAACAAAATTTTGCTAAAGATTCATGGTGAGAAATGTGGATATTAAGGCGTTCTCAAGCAGCTTCCTCAATTTGATTTGAAGTGATTGAGATATTGCTCAATTAAATGGTAACAAATATGTTGAAAATTCATTGTGAGAATTACGATTTTAAATTTTAGCTGCTCCTCCATAATTTATTCATTGAATATGATTAGTTTATTCGAATTCCAAATAATTAAAACTTTACATTAAAATCCATTGGATGAAGAATTCACTTGATCGGCTAAATTACTTTTCACTAATTAAAACCTAATTCCGATCCATTGATTTAGGTACTTGATAACACCTTAATTTAAAATTTTGCTCAGATCCATCTAGTGATGTGCTTAAGAACACTACAAGGCATTTAACACTATCAAAAATCCACCGGTATGAATAATTTTCATGGATATTTCAAGCTACAATAGTAATTTTTGATTCATGGAATTGGAATTGAAAAAGATGATATCTTGGTACGTATGAAAATCTGCTGATCTAACGGAATGTGTTAAGTTGTTCATTGTTATTATTTGCGTTAGCTGAAAATAATGAATATTAGTAATTTGCTTGGTGTTAAAAATCAGCTATTAGGGGAATTCATCAAGTTGGTTATTTATTATCCTCACATAATTGGATAAATATAAGGCGTTCACCACTATCAAAAATCAAAGATGCCTGGTATGAATAATAATTTAATGAAGGTGCTGTATTGCCGATCTGATGGGCCTAACAAACACTATACAAACTGTCAAAGTCAGGTGTGTTCGTATAATTTCAATTGTTTTAAGATAGTTTTAGGGGTTGGTTTAAGGTTAGAATTGGATTATATTTTTCACATTTTCACTTTTTGCAGGCCATGCAAATTGGTAAAAAATTATTTTACTAGGCAATTATTGTATGTAATTTATATGGGGTGTTTAAATAGAATTTTTAATTTACCGGCTCACGGCTGAAAAAAAAAAACCCCCCGGTTTTTTATATATAAGGCCTCACAAATTTATATAATTGATTTTCATATCTCGGCCGGGTTAGTAAAGCGGGTTTTGTAAATTTTTTTTTTTTTTTTATATATATAATATAATCGACCAATAGAAATTCGCTATTCTGACACTCTGACTATCGTTAACAACTAAAGATATTTTTAATCTTGAACCGTAAATATACTGTATTGTATTTAAATAAGAGTAATGTTTATTAAGTTATTAGAGTATACTGTATGTTATCGTGGTCTGTGTAGTGGAGACTGATCCCGGGTTGTGAAAGAATAAAAAGTTAAATAAATTTTTTTTTAGAAAAAAATTTTTTACAAAAAAAAAAAAAAAGCCGTGCGGCCGTGTGACTAAACACTAGTTAATGATATGAAAATAAGTTTGTGTGGCCTAAAAAACAGATTTTTTACCTCAAATTTTACTCAATCTCAAAATACTGGATAATCCGGAACTTTACTATGCTATTTAATTATGAGCCAAGCATTTACTGGTAGTTTATAATAATTTTTTAATTTGATTGGTTCCGATCCTTCCGATTCAGTTTCCGGAATTGGTATTGTTTAAATGTTTATACTCATTAAGTATATAAAATGATCTTATCATAATTTCTCTTTATTGCAAAAAATGTTTACGAATTTTGAAAAATGCTTCCAATACATTTTGTCTTCTACTTGGTTCTGTAATATCTAAACCACCTGTTGGATGCACATCTTCTAGCCATCTTTTAATTATAATTAACTCTTTATATAGCAATCTATAATCAAGTTCTTTTTAGTATTTGTTAGAGATTATTGTCTTATAAAATATAAAATATGTTGAAACAACTCTGATAGCAAATATAATTGAATTCAAAATTACATCAGTTTGAGGTGCAATATTAAGCATGTTTTCATTCTCACATGTAAGTATTTCTGTAGCTAATTGTGTTTCACTATAACCTTTTTAAGAGATAAAATTTTTATTTCTTATATGCTTATTCTGTAAAAAAAACAATTACTTGAGTTTACAAAAATAAATACTTCTAACTAATTAAAACACACAGATTTCTATAACAATTATAAAAATATTTTTTCTATTAATAATAAATTCAGATTTTGCAATTATATAAAGTTTACTTATGATATATAATTTGAATTGTAGATATAGTCTAAATTTAGATATAATATAAATTTTAAAACATTATTAAATTGTAAACAAAAGATATTATTATAATTGTTTATCTAATTCTTAATAGATAGTAATAGAGCTTCTAGGTTTGGTTCAGGTTGTTCAAGTTCAGTTGAACTTCTGAACTCGAACTAAACTTGAACTATCTTTTAGATTATAAGCTAATGCAAACAAATTTGCTTATGTTTTTGCATTTATTCAGCTTTGATTTATTTTTTTAGAATGTAAAAATATTAAAAAAATAATTATAGATAATAAAATTTGAAAATAAGGATTATCTTTATGCAGTATTTGTTTTTATATAATAAGAAAAAATTTAAGGTTATATATAAGTTAAAAATAGCTAATTTTAAAAAAAAAAATTTTTGCAAAAATTTTATTAGTATTTCAAGGTGAATTTGTTTAATTTAAATTTTAGAGATATAATTTATTAAGCAATTTGATAAAACTTTTAAAGGATTACAACTTTAATTATTACAATTTTAGTAATTTACTTGTAAAAATTTATACTTATATTAGAAGTAAAAATTATTTTTAGCTTCATTTATATATAAAATCTGAAAAAATTTGATCAAAAATTTTATAGTAAAAATTTTTAAAGCAAAACTTTAAAGATTTATTACTCAAAAGTTTTATAATAATTTTAAAAAACTTTCTTAACAAAGTTGTTAAAATAAATATTAAAAAATATATTTTATTTAGAAAGTATATATTTAAAATTAATATTTAAGGTTTTATTTAAAAATTACAAAAATCAAAAATAAATATAAACAAATTTGCCTATGTTACAAATTAAAGGATAACATTTGTGCAATTCTAAACCTAAACTCAAATTTGAATAGTTGAAGTTTAAACTCAAACCAGACTCGAACATAAAGTTATTTTTGGTTTAAGTTTAGTTTGAAGTTCATGAACTTATTTAAATTCAAATAGATTTTTTTTTTTTTTTATTTAAAATTTTTTATTAATTTATTTAATTTATTAATATTTTTTTTATTAATTTATTTTTTATAAATCTAACTCATAAACTTTGCTTGTATAACAAATTATGTATAGTCTAATACTAATTTAAAAGTCTATTAGCTATAGCATATATATAAGATAAGATTATTAACTATAATAATACAAAAATTATTTTTAAAATAAAAATGAGTTCTTTGTCTGTGTGTTTGGAGGAATTTGATAATGACCAATATAATGACCAATATAATGACCAATATAATAACTACAATAACAATTAAAATAATAACTATGATAATAATTACAATAATAACTATAATAATAACTATGATAATAATAATAATAATGATCATGATGATAATCATAATAATAATAACATTAATGATAATATTAGTACTATTAGCAAGTAAAGTAATGTTAGTGAGGTATAAGATTTTTTAAAAAACTTGAATAGTAAAAAGAATAAAAAACAGCTAAATATATAGTATTAAAGGGTTAATACAAGAAGTTTTTTTATATGAAAAGAGGAACAACCAAACTCTTGTAGTACTATTTAGAGAGTTCTTATCAGATGTAGTATGCCAAAACAGCAGAATATTAAAAAAAATATATATAAGATGAATGTAATAATATTAAGAAAGCATTCAGAAGAATAAGTTTAGAGTTTTGAAAATATTAAGTATGATACTATTAAACATAGTATCTTTGCCTAGTATAAGTATTATATTTAATAATATCATATCCTGGAACTTCTAGAATTATAATAAGTTAAATTTCTTATTTAATTCTCAAACATAAACTAATTTAAAAATTTTATTTTAGAATTTTCAAAAAACTTCCACTATATTATTCACTAATATTAATAATATGAAACTTTATGATATATTTGCTACCTAGATTATTAACTATCAATACTTATTTACAATAATTAAAGACTCTAAGTTAATAGAAATTGTACAATATTTGAATTCAACTACATAGTTAGTCAAAGCCAATATAATAAAAAATACAATTATATTATTTTATAGTTTAGATAAACAGGAATTAAAGGCAAAAATTTATGTTATCTTATCTCTTAGATTGTAGACCAATATAAACAAATTTGTCTGTATTTTTGCATTTATTCAGCTCTAATTTACTTTTTTAAAATGCAAAAATATTAAAAAAATAATTATAGATAATAAAAT